GGCAATAAGAGAATTATAACAGCTCTTTATCAGCTGCAAAAATATTTGAAGGGGAAAGCGAACTGTTCCTTATTTCTATAATGAGTGAGAGAAAGTAGCCCCATGCTGGGGGGACATTTCTTGGAAAAAATAGCCTAGGTTTTTTGACAAATGCGCCTGCTAGTCTAGAGAGTTTTATTGCTGGTACACAGCACACTTTGTTCTTTCTGTTTCTTTCAACCTGCTGGTGGATCAAATTAGCAGCCCAGGCGTTTGAAATGTTTGACAAGTGGTCAGCCTGAGATACCCATATTCATACTCCCAAATTTTAAGAGGCAGCAAAAATAAATGCTCTTCCCCCCATCCCCCAGACACTCAATTTAAAAAAACATGACTCTTGGTTTCTAGTCTTAAAGGGGTGAGTCCAAGCCAATACTTTTGTTGTATTTCAGTTGCTGTTCCTAACTGTCCAGATATCACATCTGAAGATGCTTTCCAGGGACAATGGTCAGTTTTCTTGGTGAAGTCAATTTTCCCTCTTTCTGAGTTGAAACTGTGCCAAATGGAGACCAAAAAAAAATTGACCTGCAAGGCTCAAGAAACTACAAGTTTCAGTAATGGGGTACATGAGAAGAGATTTTAACACATAAAGATAGATTCAAGGTTCAAAGATATAGTTTAATTATATTTGACCCACTTGAATCTTCCCTCATAGGACCGATTCCCCTGTGGGAAGCAAGGGGGCAAACAAAGAAGGCTTCAAAACCAGTGGGGCTTTTTGTTTTGCATGAGTGGTTCTTGGTGTATCCTCTGTACTGGTTCCAGATTAAGTTTTAGCCATGTCAAACTTGTTCCATTGATTTCAGTGGGTCTAGTCTAAGCATGACTAAGTTTAGGTCCAACTCATTTTATTTTAAAATATTGTAAGCCACTTTAAGGATGGTAGGCAAAAAGCTGGATATGAAACTAATAAATAAATATGCCATCAAAAAGTGGTGTACTTCAAAAGCATTTGTTGAGATTACAGTATTATACTGTAGAAAGAGATAACGTACAACTCTTGAGGGATCATCAGATCCTAACTGGATGCTAATGCAGTCTTTCCTTGCTTGAGATCACAGGTGCCATAAAATTTCATCCTGTTTTTATTTGTTCCCCATCTGAATCTTTGGCATGGGATAGAGTATAATGCCATCTATTTAAAATATCCAACAGTTCACTACTGACTAGAGGCGCTTTCAAATGGACTAGCAGATTGTTAGCAAAACTAGATAAGATGTCTTCTTTTAAAAAGGCATGGAAGGGGGAAAAGTGGCCAATTCAAATATGTCATACTTCGCTTTGTTAATATTGCAATACTCTTCTCAATGCTTTAACAGGATCACCAGGGCTGAGCCTTGGAAAGAGACAAGTAGCCCTTAAGTCATTATTATAAAAGGCTTATCTATGGAGGAGAAGAAGAAATACTGTGACAAGAGCGCATAGCAATGTAAGCATCAGAGCATTGCAAATAGGAAGTGACTAGGAGCCTGCCCAGTTAACAACGCTGCTCTTTGTATGACAGCTGTATGTGACAATTACCCTGCAGAGCCAAACAGGAGAGGCAGAAAACATTTTGGAAACAGGGAGACGTTCTAACTCTTGGTTTTTTGAAAAACTTTCAGACAGACTCTGGCAGAATGTGTGTTGTAATTCATAAAAAGGAACTTCCCCTCTGTTATTTTGGTGCATGGATACACCATGCGTATTAGCACAACCTTTAAGAGAATCCTGGGATTGGGGAGGAGGAAGTATCAGTTGTTATTAGACAACCTAACATCGTTACAAAAACTGTTTTTGTTGCACTTTGCTAATTATCTAATTCAGTTCCAATATGATATTATCTCAGTGACAAATCTACAGAATTTTTAAAAACTGAAATATATGAGAAACTACATTAGTCAGTCAGGACAATCTCTATAATCTTTGCAAATCTGGCACTGCTCATATCAGGTCACTCCAAAATGAGGATAACACTGAACACAAAAAGCACAACCTAAACCTTAAAAGAATAACAGGCTAATTCTCATCTAGCATTAATCTTTCCTTGCACCCACTTTTCTACTTTCTTTTCCCCTTAATTTTTATCAGCAATTTCTTTCACTAACCTCATTTTCCATGCCAGATTGTTCAAAGAACCAGTCTTAAATACCAGGCTCTGTAGAAAAGAACATTTCCCACAGACCATTTTTGACAATTGGGTGTTGCAAAACTGCAGAAATAAATACTAGCATTCTCATAATCTTTTAACTGCCCAGTCATCATATATTTACTAGATGTCCTTTTAGTGTGGAGAAGAAGTAGAAAAAGAGCAAAATAGGAAGATGCCCACTGCTTTGGACTGACACTGTCAGGTACACCAAGAAAGATGTTCATGCTACTCCACCTTTGGTGCTTAGATGTATGCATATTTTACTACTTTCCCTTCTACTCTTTTCAGCAAAGCCCTGAAAAGAGACTGGACTGGCATTCAGAATCAACACCTTCTTACAGATATAAATAGAATATCAAAGGCAGCCTGGCTTCCATGATAGCACTAAGTGCTTTCACCTAGAGGCTCCCATGGGTAACTGGCAAGATTTATTCCTGAGTCAACTTGAAAAAACATTTCTCTTGGCCAAAGAGGACCTGCAACACTCAACACTCTATGCAGTCCTTGGGTTTGTTGTGATGTGCAAAATCAGGCATGCAAAACATCATCCTTAGCAGATCAATTTTAATTTAAAAAAGGAGGGAAATTTCTAGTCCTAAAGACTACAGGAAGAAAATGAAACAAGTACTCATTGAAGAGATCTCAGAAACCAAGTATGACCTTGGATAGGAGTCTGAGTAGGAGGGTGTGGAGGAATTCAGTCACTGTTAAAAGATAAAACAGGAGAGAAATTGCATCAAATGGACAGCTTGTTTTTCACCATGAGTGCTTTCAGATGAAGATTTTATGGTGCCAGCAGCCTGCCTCATTCATGGAGTGCTACCAGGGGTGAAGATGGGGTCTTCGTTTGTTCCCCACAACTTCTTCCACCTTTTTTCCCCTATTGTGGGAGAATCATTAAAGAAAAAGAATAGGTGTACATGGCTTTCTTCTTTGTAGTACAAGCTGTCTTCCATCTGGAAACAGTCCAATTTTCTTTTGCTAGGAATTCTCTTTTCTAGTGGCTGCTTCACACGTTACATACAATGCACGTTTGTACTATACTCACATGGGGCTGTATCCAGAGTTAGTCCTACTTAAAGTAAATTCATTGAAATGAGCAGGAAATAAATTAGATTAACAGTGGTTACAAGACATGGGAAGGAGCTGCAGCCCAACCCAGCTCCTTGGCTTCTGTGCATTTGGAAAAAATCCTTTGTGAGCAAAGCTCCCCCTGCCCCTGCCCCTACTATGTCCATTTAACATCACTACCTCCCATTTTGGGCATGCCTGTCTTTTAAAGGCATTGTTAAAACTGTGTTGTATAAAATGTACAAAAGGTTGTCTCCAACCTGGTACCTCCAGCTGTGTTGTACTGCATCTCCCATCATTCCCAGCCTACATGGCCATACCTATGGGAGACGACGGAGTTGCAGTCCAGCACATCAGGAGGCACCAGTCTGAGGTACGGGCAGCAGAGGACTGCGACCCATCTGGAAAGAAGCAGGTCTTGTGGGCCCAGCTACACCACCGAGCCAGGCCTGCCTTTCTGTCAGCCGCTGCTGTGCTGCTTCTTGCCTCAATGGGCTGGTGGCAAAGCCACACCAAGGAACATACTAAATTGCTCAATGTAGGGTGTGTTGCACACTTGCCAAAAAGGTCAGCCAGTCAGGATGCACAGACCGCCTTCTTATCGAGCAACTTCAGTCATGCTGCAGTGACAGGGCCTCTTTCCAGGACAAATGGCAGAATTCTCACTAAATTTAAGCCTTGGTTCCTTAGGAACCAAAAAAATTTACAATTCCCTTGTTGGAATTATGAAATCACAGCTAAACCCCAAGCACAGCATATGAGGATGCTGCAAAGCTCCACACTTGCAAGAAAGACATTTCTATAACCCAAACTCAATGAGCACATGTGTTGAGCAATAAGCCCAGTGTTCGGAAACTGCAGCTACCTGGGAACCTGACTGATTACTGCTGAAAACAGGTTATTGTACTTTTAGTATGGTCCAGGAGGGTTCTCCTTGTAGATTTTATTTAACAGTCCTCAGTTATTGCTGCAATCTGAGAAATCAGAGATGCAGGTGCTTCTTCAGCACTATGATATTGGATGCTCTTGGTTCTATGAATGAAGCACCCACACTTGCTCCAAGCTGCTCGGGTGCCTTGCCACCCTTAGGAGGTAGACTTCGGCCACACGCCCACTCCTAGCTAACTGGGCACTACCTGGGCAAGGGCAGCAGCTCCTATACATGTGTACGTGGGATGAGAAAGTCTCATACTCCGACTCATTCACTGAACTGCACCACAGAGTTGCTGGGGATGATGAGCGTTGCTGTCCCACAGATCTGGATGGCAAAAGTTGGTGCAACGGTTTGGCGTTGTGTTTCCACCTGCCATGCAGTTTTTAAAGGTACAGGCGCCTGACCGGGAAAGAAGAGATGCCAATATGGGAAAATTGTAGGGGAATTCAGCAGCTGGAGAGACGAAGGAAGGGGGTTCTCTTACCTCTGTCCACAGGCGCTTTTAGGCAAGGGAATTTCTTACGGGCAGCCTGGGGGGGGGCACTGGCAGGCCGACCCGACGTCGACGCTTTCCTCGGCTGGGAGAGGCCGCGAGAGGAGGAGCCGCCGGGGGTGCCCTCAGCTGGCGTCACGGCCTTCTGCCTCCAAGGGGGTCTCACGTCGGCCCAGTCTCGCCCCTCCGCTTCCCCACGGCGTGCGCCCTCACGCTCCAGCCGCGGGCCTCCGTGGGAGGGAAGCGAGGTGAATGCTTGCTAGCGGGCCACGCGGCGGAGGCAGGGCGCCTGAGCTTTGAGGGCGGCGGCGGCGGCGGCAGCGCGAGCGAGCATGGGCGCCGAGTGGCTGCGCTGCCTCCTGCTGGGCTGCTGCTTGGCGTGGCGCTGGGGCAGCAGCGCGCAGAAGGCGGCGGCGCTGGGCGGCGGCGAGTACTGCCACGGCTGGGTGGACGCGTACGGCAGGTACTTCGAGGGCTTCCTTTGCCCGGAGCGCTACGACACGCCGGACGCCACCATCTGCTGCGGCTCGTGCGCTCTGCGTTATTGCTGCGCCGCCGCCGAGGCGCGCCTGCAGCAAGGCGGCTGTACCAACGACCGCGAGGCGGAGCAGCCGGCGGGGAGCGCCCGTGAGTGTCGGGGCCGACGGGGCGAGGGGAGCCAAGCCGAAAGGCCCGGCCGCGGCTTGCTGCTCCTGGGGGGAGCGGGCTCGGAATCCCACCCCATCCGCCGTGGAGCGCTTGAAGCCGATCCTGCGCGGTATTGTTTACGCGGGATTCGACACCCCGTTGTAGGTTGTATGATTTCAGTAGGACGCTGACTTCGCTGTTCAAGTTTTTAAGATTCAGTCGGCTAGCATCGCCCGGGAGGTGCCAGATTTATGGATAGATTATAGGCGTATTTACGCGGACGTAAATCCTGGAGCAGGTTTTAAATAAACTTAAAGTAAGCGTGTGTAGGATTGCAGTTTTAAGTGTTGGGGGTTGTGGGGAGTTTCCCTCGTTGCTTGATGGGAGGAAAATTGTTGGTCAATCCTATACTTGGAAATCTGAAATATATTTTATGTCAAATCCTCAGCTTGTTTACCTGTTACCTGGCTTCTGGTTGAGGTCGATTAAGCCTGTTTACTTCGAAAGCGCTGTAACCATTGCTACCCACTAACCTCCCTAATTGAAATTATTCTGGCTCCCTTGCTCTCTTTCTCTTTTTGGTCTAGGGTTTTTTTTGGGGGGGGGTATTTTTTTCCCCCGACCTAGAGTTTCCGGAATAAGGATGCTATGCTGCGTTGCTCTTTCTTAAGGATGTGACCGGTTATGCAAAGGATTTCTACTTAATGAAGTAGCAGCGCAATCCTATGCTTGGCCTTTCAGAAGTAAGCCTCTCTTGAGTTAAGCCGGGCTTGCTTTCATAGGATTGCAGAACAAGGCTGCAATGCATACCGATTCAGTCACTTACCCTGCACTAACCCTCACTGAACCAAACAGGATTTACTTTCGAGTAGAGAAGCCACGGATTGCATTATAAATCCCTTATTACAGTTAGAAAAGAATCAAGGACGGACTCGGGCTGTGAGTCTGCCCCGAAGAGGCAGAGCCATCCGAGGAAGTCAGGAGCTGCCTCGGATTGGAAGGGCTGCTTCCATCCAGTTTGGAAGAGACAAAGGCTGCGATCTTTCGCGCAGTTACCAAGGAGTAAGCTTCGCTGGACAGGGTGGGACTTCTGAACAAGGCTTCCTCCCATACATTTGTGCAATTAAGTTCTCAGAAACAGAAAGGGTCAAAAGTCTTTACCTTCTGGCGACCATTTCATGCAAAATCAACCAACAGAGAAAGGGTCGGAGATGCTGATAGAACAGGGAAGCTCATGAGCGCTACAGGGAAGACCTCCCAGGAATTTTTATTTTATTAAAGGCGGTCAGGAACAGCCCTGGTGTGGGACAGATACATGTCTTTTGGGGGAACCGTTTAGCCCCTCCCCCACAAATTGAATGAAGTATTTCGTAGTGGAAGAAGGGCTACTTTTGGGCACCTGTATATTTTCTGTTTGTATTCCTGGAGTTTCGATGGCACTGTAGAGATTGGAAAGTGTTCTGCTTACAAGGGCACACAGTATCGAATCCACCATGTGTGAATCTCTCTCTTTTCCATATTAATGTTCGAGTATATGAAAGAGGAAGCTTCAGCAAATGTGACACTATCAGTGGAAATGCTCCCAAGCCAGAGATTCCCTGCAAGAAAGAAACCTTTTTTGCATTAAAAGACAGCTTGAACATGCCTGCAAAAATATCCAGAATGAGATATCTTACCTGTTCCTATTGCTTGCTTTGCTTTCCAGTCCCTTTGGGCTCACTGGAACATATGGCCAAGAAAGTTTACTGCCATTGGAGACCACTGTCAAGTTTAGGATTGTAGCATAGGATCACTCATCTGCATTGTGCCAAAGCCTACTATTCCAGTGGGTCAGGATTTGAATCTTCTCTCTGTCATAGTGTCCTCATTTTACAGGCTGCATACACAGCTGTTCTAGAAGTTTGAAACGGTAAATTCATGGTTTTAAAGAACTCCAGTGTGCTCACATTAAAAGAAAGAAAGAAATCAAGACTGTTTTGTTGATCCATTTCAAAAATAACCCAGGGCAGTAGCACAGTACCCTTGTAGGACCAACCAAAAGTTTGCAAAGCAATATCTTTCATGTTGATTATTAAAATGAAAACTAGGAAGGGTGGGTGGGGAAATCTTGTTGGTACACAGAATGATGGAGGCCAAATTTTCAGTAACTATCTTAAGATGGTAATTCAGTAAATTCTATTCTAATTGGAATATACCTACTCAAAAAAGATGGTTGCAAACAGTGGTTTTTCTAAGGGCAAAGCAGATATAGTAAAACTAACTGAAACTCTGGTTAGAGGGGATTTAAGTGCCTGGCAATTCTAGTGTGCCAGGCACACTAAGCATTTTATGATTTAAGTGCCTGGCAACTCTATCCATTCATAGCACCTTGTGTCTCTTAAACAGGGTTGTCCAGCAAGATTATGTTGTCCCATGGGTACAGTGTAGAGGCAACTGGAGTGATTTAAGGAGAATTGATATGCTTGTAATATAGCCTTTTAGATAAAACACAGATGTCATTTATTGAGTGAGTTAGTGTCATAACCTGGAATTAGGAGCTGCTATTATGATGTCATAATCTTGATAAAGCATTTGGTATTTTGAAGAAAATGAAATAGAAATATGTTGGTTCTTCCTAAGTATGACTATTCTTTTTGGAATCTCTTTTCTTTTATGCTCAGAACCAATCTACGTACCATTTCTCATCGTTGGGTCAATATTTGTCTCCTTCATTTTCGTGGGTTCCTTCGTTGCCGTTTATTGTTGTACTTGTTTAAGGCCTAAGCAAACCTTGCAGCAGCCAATAAGATTCTCTCTTCGAAGCTACCAGATGGAGACTTTACCAATGATCCTGACCTCAACTAGCCTGAGGACTCCATCAAGACAATCCAATACTGCAGCCAGCTCCAGTTGTACAGCAGGCTCTGTCCGCAGGTTTTCCTTTGCCAGGCCTGACTCTGGGTACATAGTCGCATCTTCACCTCCGCCGTACACAGCAGGCTGTTTACAAATGGGCCATGCAATCAACCTTTCCCAGCCATCTGGATTTTTGGTGTCAGCGCCCTATTTCTCATATCCTCTTGACTCAGAGCCATCTCTGACTGGGAAGAGTGTCCCAGATCTTAGCCAGAGCTGAAAGAAGCTTTCAGAATGGAATGTTAAGAAAGAAGCACAAGTAACGTCAACTTCATGCAGTTTTTACCATGTGTGCTCTGGTTATGGGATTGAAAACTATGTGAATGGATGAGTTGATCCTTTCAAAGTACAAATTCTTGCAAGAAATGTTTTTCAAAGAAAGAACATTTAAATGATGTTGAGCTCAGAGCTGAATACACATTTGCAAACGATATAGCAATATTGTTTTCAAAGAAGGTCATCTGACAATGGTGATTTAATGCTGGTGACTAAAATCTCCTCTTCAGTGTCTGTTTTGAACTGCATATCTAATGTGAACAGAACTTAAAGTGGAATAAGGCATTATGGCTGCAATCCTATATCCACATCTGGGAATAAGTTTCACTGAATTCAGTGGGACTTACTTCTGAGTAGACATGTCTAAGGCTATGCTGTCAGCAGGCAGATGGTTTGAAAAGTTTATTTAGGTAATGGTAGCACTATTGACTATTTCATTGGGAAATTTAGACATACAATAAACTTTCTCCAGTGGGACAGTGTATTCCTGATTAACCTTATTGATTTTATAGGATGTTTTATAAACAATTTTCACCAGAATTAGTATCAAGTTTTATTAAAGGAATGGTTTTATAAATAGGTATTGAAAGTTTGGGGAAATAAAATAGCAAGTTATAAAATAATATGAGGTTAATGGTTCCAAGTATCAGAATTTTTTTTTGGAAAGGCATCACAACTCCAGTCTTTACATAAGCTTTCTGGAAAGCCAGGAAAAAGAGATTTAAGATGAGGTGTTCCAAATGTGTGACAGTATGGGGAACTTTGTTGGTACATGGGAAAGTGACTGACTTTGCAGGCAGATGCAATAATACAGATATTTAGAACTACAATTTTAATTATTTTACTAATGTGTTTTAGCTGGAACTATGGACACATTTTTTTCAGTCAAGAGAGAAGATGCAATACAACTTACAAACTATACCCTAATTTCACTGATTATCAATGTAAAATGTTAAAATACTATAGGAATCATTAGTCTTATGTATTTTTGCTGGAATGTATTTATTCTGTTTTGTTCTGCAACTTGAGAACACAAGTTGGACAAGTGGTTTTGGCTTTATTTATAACATTAGTACTATATAAAATAATGTTTAAGAGATGTAATTTAAAATGTATTGACAACATTAATCCTATTTAGTAGTAATGGGTTTTCTTCCAATAAAATATTCTATGATTGAGACATTTTGGTTTTCAAATGTGTTTATATTTTGGATAAATAAAAGTAACTTACCATTTTACCATTCTGTGTATTTATAAAGGCTTATTAGTTCACTGCTCAGTTTACATAAAAATATGAAAGTCTTAAATAGTCAGAAATCAAGTTTACACAGCTATGTAAACTATTCCCCAGTTGTAAACATTTATGAGGAAGAAAGATTCTTTAAAACAATTGTGACTAGTTTTCTTCCACATAAGGGTGCAATCCTCTACCTATTCACTTGGGAGAAGGCCCTATTGTGCTTGGTGGGGTTATGAATTCTGTTTCAGGGAATTAGAAATTTATATCACCAGTAAAGCATGGACATGCATCTCTGTATTGTGTGAGATGTTTAGGATCATGTTGATCCTGGGTAGAACCTCAAGCCAAAAAATCATCACCATTGAGAAACTCCATAAAAATACCCTAAACATGCAAGGCCGAATTATGGAACAATGATTGTACAGGGCATGTTTTCCCACCTATTCCTTTTCTTTGCAACTCCTAGTCAAAATAGTATGTATTTGCGGCATGAGGAGGTACACTTATGTATGCTTAAGTAGTGGGGAGTGGGAAAAACCAAGAGAAATGAGAGAGGTCCTTATGCAAGTTGATGGGTGTTATCCTTTACATAAGGGGCTCAGGATTTAAATACATAGCTTTAAATACATAGATTATACAGCTGACTAGTGCTAAAGTTTAATCATGGTTTAATTTGGCCAGGAGCTCAGCCCTAGACCTTTTTCAATACCTGATCTCAGTTTTGGAACATAGCATTTCAGAACAAGGCACAATCCTAAGAATTTCACTGATATATACTTGTTGGGAAAGAATGGGTCAAATGCTCTGCCACAGTCTCTTCACAAAGCGTGGCTCAGTCATAAAAATAGGCATATGACATATTCACTGTGCTATCCTGTGGACTGGTCCATGGAAGAACCCTGTGGATTGCATGCTTTTAAACATTTCTGCTAGCTTTTTTTCACTGCCAGCACAAAGTCATGCAGCATTCCCAAATGCAACCTGAAACCTTCTCTGTCTCTTGTAGTGCCTGATTTGAATATTTGCAGCCTCCACTCACTTTCCAAGGCAAGAGATGAACAAGTTTTCAAATGCAGACTTGAACATCAGCCACATCTTTCTTCCTCGACCACTTTTTGCTTCATTTATTGCATAGGCTAATAAAGTGTTCTAGAGAATTCAAAAGTTTGCACAGTATATGGTGGCAGCTGGGATGGCCACTGGTCCAGGTTCACACTACAATCTTCTATCAAGCCAAACAGAGTTTGTTTACAGAAACTGAAGTATCTTTGCATGCAGCATGCATCCCTGTGAATCATGAGTTAAATAAACCATGATTTGCCCCCCATTACATTCAGACAGGGTCTTGGGGTCAGATCATGAATCTCTTCTTTCTCCTTTTCTCAGATATTTAAAGGTAAGTTTCTTTTCACTTATTTGCAAAGTGCTTACTTGATTTAAAAAAAATTAATCACAGCAAGACAAGCATTGGGTCAGAATCAGAATTAAACTTGAGTGATGTCACTATGAACATAGTATTGTACAGGAATGATAAATATATGTTCACTGCACTGTAGAAAAATGTTGGTATCCTCACCACAATTAAGACCATGAAAGAAATGATCCAAGTCATTCCAATCATATTACCAATATGAATATGGAAACGTGAATGGATCAATTGTATGACATGTTTAACTTCAGGAAAGCATATGTATCTAATAGCTGGCCTGTATGCTCTTCACAGTTGAGCAGGAGTGGTGAAGCCCAAAAGTTAGAGAATCGTGAGTGAAATGCAAAATCCAAAACCTGCTAGAGTTGTTCTACTAAAGGTTCAGCAAAAGTAGTAGCTGATGAGTTTGTGCAATGTACCTCTACAGCATTGAGATGATGTTCTGGTATCTCTTGTGGTCCCACGAGGGCTTGAATAATTGCTTATATATTTATTTTTTCTTCCTGTAATGTTGGAATGTGGTGTGGACCAGTCCTTCTGCATGGATCCTTTTTGCACACAGACACTTTTGGATTCAATCCCAAGACTATACCTCCACCAGCCAACTGGGGCTTACACTTCTTAGCAAAGGCTTTAGGGACCTTCTGTGAAAGGTGAGGTAGGAACAGGAGACAAAAGAGGGTGGTAGACACTCCCTCCTCCTCCTAACATGACAGGTCTACATGGAGTACAATTTTATATTCTGAGGCAAATTTTCTATGGGGAGAATTGCTCTGTGTGTCCTGGTATGTGTGCTGAGGGGAAGAAGCTGCAGAAACCAAGGCTGTTGACACTGATGTGAGGTCAGTGGGCAGGCTGTATGAATGCACAGATGACCACACGAAGAACAGGAGCAGAAGGCGGTCCATCAATGGGGTACCCCATGTTTCAAAAAGCTGCATCAAGACTTCTGGGTTTAGCTTCCATTTGTGGGTCCCCTTGGTTTTTGTTCAGGGTGTCTACCATGATGCTGACAGTCCCAGCCCTGCAAAGCAAGGTGAGTCTGGAATGCGTATCACATGCCATCTTGTTTGTTCAGGTGGAACACCATTGTAATGCTGTCCATGGCAACCTGGACATGCTTGTCATTGAGGCATTGGTGGAACATGATCAGTGCCTACTGGATGATGAGCTTCTTAAAGTGGTTCATATGCTCCCTCCAGTCTCAATCCATCTAGACCCCATGGGTCCTGCTGCTAGTGCAGTGTGTTTCTTCAGCCTGAGCATGACACCAGGGTCAGGCCTGGATCCTTCAGCATGAAGGTGTCTCCCTCTGGTAGGTTGTGTCAGATTCACCAGGTGTGGTTTGGCCGAACTGAAAATGGGAGTGCCAGCTGCTTCTGGGTCAATTTGTGTTGGGGCCAGTAGGTGTGCACAAACCAGAACTAGTGGCCACTTTTAAACTGGGTCATGGCAGTACAGAATTAGGATTTGCTGCTGATTTGGCATATAACCCCATACACAAGTCACCTGGGAGTAACTTTAACTGAACTCACTTGCTTCTGCGTATAGGATTGCATTGATGCATCACAATCCATAAAAAGGACACATGCTTGATGACAGAATTCTGCTTGAGTTTGCGGTAGCAGTTATGATTAAGAATAAAGCAAGATACTGTGCAGTTTGAAGAGCTCAGACAAGCTGATTATTTGCAATGTGGACAAGCATTGTAATGTCTCTTATCAATCCTATTGCCAAATTCTGGATGAAAATAATTTATTCTTGTTCACTAAGTATATCTCAAATAACCCAATGGATTTTAAGAGGAAGTACTTGGGGAATGAACTTTATAGTAAACACAATACTTTACTTTTTTTTTTTTTTTACTTTTTTAGCATTACTGACTTTTCAAAGTTATGGCTTGTTTTTGTGTATTATGAACATTGGTTTATCATTAGTTTTGACTCCAGGTATGCTGGGGATTACATATATGTTGGATGCTTATGGTTTCTCCTTATGGTCGCTCTTTTATGGGAAAGTATCTTTTGGCTCACAAACTGCATGATAGGCTTTAATATCATGTTCATCACACAGAACACTATTCCATGGCTTTTACTAATAATCTGTTGCTAGACTGTGCAGATTTCTTCCTACTCTGCCTTGTCTAACAGGGAATTTGTGATGTCCTTAGTTTTTCATGAAAGACTTGGTACCTGAGTTTCCTCTTTTCTTCCTTGCCCTTCATCTGTTTGCACAGTTTGTTAAGAATACCTTGAAGTGTAAGAAAGGTTGCAGAAAAATGTAATGCACTCAATGTGGGGCTGATTTGAAGATGGTCCTGAAACTTCAGTTTCTTCAAATTAGGACAGCAAGGCTGCTGATGGAGACTGTCCAGTACAAATACATTACACCAGTCCTCTTCCAACTCCACTGGTTACCAACTGAAGCCTCGGCCTGATTCAAAGCACTTACACAAATATTTACAGTTCTAAATGGCTTGTGGACAGGTTATCTAAAGGAATGCCTCTTCCCAATATGCCTACCTGGACCCGAAGGTCATCGTTTGAGGTCCTTTTAAAGAGTCATTAGAAGATATTAAAAGGGTAGTTACAAGGGGTCTTTTCAGCAGTGGCACCCCAGTTATGGAATTAGCTTTTCAAGGAGGTATGCCTTGTGCCCACTCTATTTCTTCCAAAGCCAGGTAAAACCCTTTTTATTCACCCAATATTTTAACAGTAAATAATTTTATTTTTAAAATCTATTTTGTTTGTATTATGTTGCTGTATTTTACTATTGTTGTACCCTGTAATTTGAGCATTATTGCACTGGGTTTATTGTGGGCCTATTGTTGCTATTTTAGCATTACTTTTTATATTGATATATTACTTATCTTTTATTTTAATGTATTGTATTTTATTTCTGTATTTTGATTGTGTAGTAATGCTCTGGGCTTTGATTAGATAATCCTAGAGAGTCATTTGGACTAATGGGTAGTATAGAAAATAAAAAGTATTTTTTATGTTGACGGCAAATTTCACAGTACTAAAACAACTTGTGTTTCTAACCATTTAAAGCAATAACTGACATCAAACTATGATAATTTTTATTTGCAGAAATTTAATTCAATTCCAAACTACCTTAATGGAACAAACTTCTGAGAAATGCTTGCATTTAAGACCAGACATAATATTACCATTTATTTCATTACAGGGTTTATTTTTTTTTAACAATTAGAAGACAAAACATTTAAAATTTGCAGTTCAAAACATGCACATTCACAAAATGCCAATGACATGTAACACTGCATATAACTCAATATATTAGTAAAATTTAATTACTTTATAAAACAGTGCACTTAACACCCATTTAAAACTAAACCTGAGGAAAACTACCAAAACACTGAGTCAGAATCTCTCCATTCATGCAGCTTCACAATTTCCACAGTAGTTTCAGCAGCAATGGTTCAGTGGAGCTGGAAATTCCTACCTTATCTTGAATGCAGTCGGAACTTTTACATAATACTGCCTTTCATTGCAGCAGAAAACCAATATTAACACATTATGGCTTCAGTTGTAGAACAAGAAAAAAACACTAAAACATGATTTTACTGTTACATTTGGGTTACAGTTTTGCAATTACAAAATATTCAGTGGATGCAAAAGTTTGTGTTGAAACAATCCATAAAGATCTGTCAATTTTCACCATAGTTGTACTATGTCAGTAATCCAATTAGTTTACTGGATCTTGCACTCAATTTTGAATGCTATCAACATCTATCAATATGTATGATTTTTCTGAGATTACATTCAATATTAATAAAATGAAGCTGGTAAAGCAGTTGTTTATCCAACACTTACTTTTGCTTACCAAGTGCATGATGCATGTTTCAGCTGAAGGGAAGGAAAGGAAAAAATGTGCTTTATAGCACAAGCATGCATCAAGTTCAGATTCACTCTACAATGTATCAATTCATGCAGACAAGACAAAAAACTTACCAAAACGACAACCGCTTTTGCACAATACATAAATCAGTAGAAAAAGATGGGAGCTAAATTCTCTAGCAAGTAATTTAGAATTAAATGATGAAAAAAGTCTTTCCATGTGAGACTGTAATACATTTCTTTAAATATTTCCTCTATACAACTAGAAAGTTGTTTAACTATAAATCTGTCAAAATTTGTTTGCAAAAATAAATCTAACACTAAGAAAAACAAGTCCACTTATGGCTTCTCAAAATGTTTCCAATTAGCTGATGTCCTGTTTAGGTACTACATCCCACAAGTTATTAAAAATAAGACAACCATAGATGTTTTATTAATTTTTGAATGGCACCATTTTCATTTAACTGATGGAGTTTTCAATATTAGCTTGAAATTATTTCACAATACAATTAATTCATACAAAACATACAATTTCTTTTATGGATTTAATTTGGAGAAATGTAAAAGTTTAGAATTTCAAAACAAGTACATTTTAGTGACCATAATCTGAGGAAAATTCTTTTATTAAAATATCTGCCTGCCAACCAATGGCCCTAAACATATATAATACTATAATATATATTGCTATAATATAATAAACCATATATATAATTTTGTGTCATGGAATGCATCTGTTCACAAGTAACTTCATATCTATCCTGACTTTTCTTGAAATCATTTACTTGGGCATATGCTCCTTTTCCAATATTTAATTTGAATTTTGATATCAGAAAGCTTTTAACTTAGTAAAGACATTACAAATACACAATCAAGTTTTATAAAGCGCATGTTTCCTAATATTTACAGCTGTTAGATAAAATTACATCCAGGGTATGAAAAGGTATTTTAAAAATTAAAATAAATAATATTGGTGGGTAAAAATGAAAAACTAAGTTGTGAAAATGCTTCCTTAGAATAATCAAGATATGGTAAATAATGCTGTACCATACAAAGGCAGATATGATAAGGACATAACAATCACTAGCAGTTTAAAATCCTATGATCAAATAAATGTGCAAAGAGCTGCCTCTGTTTAAGCAGCAAAAGGGCATTAAAATAGTTATTTTTGCAAACAGAGGCAATGATAGAACTTCCATTTTCTGAACTCTATTTAGTAAATTTATGCCTTCACCTTGATCCATCCATCCAGGATGATAGTAAGGAACCAGGGTTCTTTGTGTGTAGAAGTACCGTATTTTTCGCTCTATAAGATGCACTTTTCCCCCCCTCAAAAGTAAGGGGAAATGTCTGTGCGTCTTATAGAGCGAATGTGTGTGTGCCCGACGCCCGGGACACTGCCGGCCTGCCTGCACCATGTGGCACCACCTGGCCAGCACGCGCTTTGCGCGCGCTGCTCCACTCCCCCATCTGGCGCAGGTGAGAGCAGTGCCGCTCAGGGGGAGCGGTGCGGAGGAGGAAGAGCCGCAGGCTTTAACCCACCGGCTGCATGGAGAGATGGACTGCTCACCCCCACTGCCCGGGAAGACCTGCCGCGGAGGAGGAGGAGCCGCGGGCTTTAACCCGCCGGCCGCACGGAGAGACGTACTGCTCACCCCCACTGCCCGGGAAGACCTGCCACTGCGCTGCCCGGAAGACCACTGCCAGCACGCTGCCGGCCCGGCTGCACCACACCTAGCCAGCACGCACTCGGCACGCCCTGCTCCGCCCCCCTCCTCCGGTGCAGGTGAGAGCTGTTAATCACAGGTCAGTGTGTGTTTTCAAATGGCAACCCGTCTTTTAATGAAGCCCATGGGGAAGTGATGGGGAATGTGCCTGTGATTATCAGGAAGCTTTCCATGGATCCCTCCTCTAAAAACTAGGTTGGTCAGGTGCGTCTTACAGAGCGAAAAATACGGTAGGTTTCTGCATGCAGGTCATTCTCCTTGGCCATTTGCATGCAAACACCTGTATCTTAACACCTAGGAATATGTTGTGCCTGTAAATGCTGACCACTGGTCTTGTGAGTGCAAACTGAATTGGGAATACCTTATTCCTTCCTTATAAATGATCACGTCTGTTTGATGCCATAAAGGGTTGAATTAGGACTAGGAGTAAAGAACAGGATATTTGGAGGAACTCCGTTGTTTTTTTCTGAATTACTATTTATTCTGAAAAGAAAAATGCACTGTACAGAACTGAAATATAAGTAGATCAAAATATAGGATTTTTAGCATTGCTGGGAAATCTGCTGAAGTGGATGTGCCCCATGGAGAACACAGAGTAACAGGCCAAGTTTTAGAAAGGGCATCCCCTGCATTTTTGTTGTGCTTTAGGTTAAGTGATTTGGCCCTCCCTGTTGATTCATTAATTTATCTAAACTTGAAGAACTTTCCCTAAAGTCAATTTCCGGCTGCAAGACTAGAAGCAAAATTGTTTGGACTAGGATTGATTTTTTGGGTGGTGTTGGTCTTTGTTCCTTCTGTTGTTTTATTTTATTGTTTTATCTTGTTCTATTTTCTGTTTAACAATTGCTAGTGAAAAAGAACATGGTCCTTGCCACTATGAGTGGGTATAACTGTGGATCACAAGTATATGAAACATTCTGGGTCATTTATTAAAAAAAGTGTTTCTGCTATACATTGCTTTGCAAGTTGGATCCAACGTGGTAACAATCACACACAAACACTGCATTTATCAGAATATGTATATTTGACTTTATACTTCTCTTTAGAAAGGTAGAACAGTTGTACAGTGTACTCAAGTCAGAGATGGAACCTTTTATAAAAATATTTCAAAAATAGAGAAACTGAAATGGCTTCTAAAAACTCATAGCAGTGTACAAATTAATTTGCAATATTATATCAGATCCTGTCTTTCTCATCCTGGTTTTACAAATTGACATATCTAAAAACATTTAATTAAAATATTTCTAGTTATGAGGAGAATAGTCTTATATTACTGACTAGAATACGAATACTTTGATAGTTTACTTTCCTTAGTAGCATATATACGAATATTTACATTAAAGAAAATACAAAAAATCTATTGGTTGAAATCTTCAGCATTGTCTAATTTAAGTTGGGACTGTACTCATAGATTAAATTTGACAACAAAAATAAATACTTGTATTATAGTGCAAACTGTTCCTTGTTCTTTTAAAATAAGAAAATCAACAAGAGTTGTTTGTAGCCAAATGCACATAAAAAACTCTTATGATTAATTGCAAATATAACCCAGCATTTTCAAATATACTTGTGCCTCAGTCTAGTAAGTACAATCTATGCATGGAAAAAGGTTTCTCTACCTGGTACATAATTCTCATTTGAGTCCTATATATGCAAGAAGTGTTACATGGGAGAAAATCTGCATAGAATGCATGTTCCATGTTTCTGCATCATATCTAGACAAACACATGGTTGCTCTTTCATCTGGGGAAAATAACTTGAATGAAGGCAGCTTGACCCTCTTGCAGCCTGGCCTCCACATGTAACAAGGGCGATTAAAAATGGAAGCAGTGATCATATGCTTGTGTATGATGGTAGGGGAACATATTTACTCACGGATCATTCCTCTGCACATGTGTCCCCAGATCAGGCTTATTTAGTGCAGGAAAAAGACAGAAGGTAGACCAGTATTTGTCTGTAAGTCAATCAAGTCTCAAAGACTCATGTCCCTTACATGGAAAATATCTGCTGTGTTAAATTTACTCTTTTCTATTAAATGAACATGAAGAAAAAAGAAAGACTTATATAAGGCCAAAGGTGAAAGTGACTACAGATCTGAAAATGAATGCAATAAAAAGCAACCTGTATTAAATTCACATTGTTGTAAAACTTTTCAAGTACAGAATATGAAGCATGCAATTCTGATATTACATGTGACATTGCCATCACTATCATTTAAAATTTCTCGGCAAATGATTAAAATAAGAAATATGGAACTTCTTTGGCAAACTTCTTAGGCTAGTTTGACACAATTCCCTACAAATATCTTGCTTTGAAATCTTACTTCAACACATGAATTAATGTCATTTAAAAATAGTTACTTAGCACTTGTTGAAATCAAAGGCTCGTTACTTTTAATATAGTCACCATTTGTAAACCTTTGCAAGCACTGTGGTTGTCAATGTATACTATGTTGATTAATCTGGCTGTTCATTATGTTCCAGATGCACGTATAGAAACAATACATATTCAGCTTCTCTGTAAATAAGCAGTCTGGAACTTTCAAACTCTGTATACAAAATCCAAGTAACACTTGTTGAAAAATTGAGAGATGGTGTATTACAGTATAGTTGCACAGTGCTTATGTCTACTCAATATGTGAACATCAGGGAATAAGAGCAACAACATACGCCTTCCTCTAACCTCTGTTACTGGACATTGTTAACAGGCCCAGAAAATGCATATTAGTTTCCCTTACTATGGCAAATATCACAGCTCTCTGATATTGTTCTCCTTCACCATTCATCAGGTCTCTGTTTTGTAGTATCATAGGCTCTTATTACTTCAGATTGTGAAACAATCCCATTTTCATCTTGAGAGAAAGCATAGCCATCTGCAAATATAAAGCCAAAATGGAATGAGAAACACGTGCTACTTTCTAATTTGACCTAAATACTAATAGGTAGTTTTAAATATTTTAAAAGAATTGCTCAATTTAAATACCAAAAGTATTGGGAAGTATACTGCAGAAAGGAGCACCAGCATTTTACTGGGAAGCAGGAAAGGATCTCTTATGCAAGTAATAAACAGCAGGTTTTTAGAGTATACAGAATACAGACTGCAGGAAGTGATTAATGTAACACACACACACACACACACACACACACACACACACACACACACTCTCTTTCATTCTCTTAAGGAAAAGTGTTTAGAAGGAATTAAAATTCCATGACATAGTTACCTATCTCAGACTGGGTGATGGTTGGATCCAGAAAGCAACAGGCATGATTTTGTTTTACTGCCCTCCCTCTTCCCACTGTGTTCTGATTATCCCAAATTTACCTGTACCCTTAAAAAGTTGTTCCAGGGAGAGTCAGAGGTTGAAGTGTAAGTCTATATCAAATCCAATCACTTTAGTGTAATTTCTTTTTTGTGTTTGTTTCTTTTTAGTTCCTGAATACTTACGAAGCAAGTTTTGTTGCAGCGATTCAGAGCGGTACAGATTGACATGGTTTTTCTTAAAGACATTTTTCAGTAGCTGAGCTCTTTCAGTTAAGCTGAGAGGAAAAAAAATTCAAACTGTGTCAAATACATGAATATTTTAAATAATTAGCCTGTAACGGGATTATTAAGCAGGGTTTGGCAATTTACCCAAACAAGAGTACTTATTAGCAGTTCTTCCTGAGAAATTTTATAAAACCTAGCTGATGATCATAGGTATGATCAGAGCTTGTTTAAAAAAATACTATACTTAGACATTTAATGTAATTAAACAATCTACCCTGAGGACCCATTTTTTTTATTATTATTTTTATAGCATGACCTTTTTTTCTTACATCGTTATCATCCTTCTCTCAACTTATCCTAACAACAACAACCCTTTAAGGTAGGTTGGGCTGAAAGTCCATGGCTGGCAGAAAGTCACTCAGTGAGCACCATGACTGAGTGGGCACTAGAAACCATTGCCTGAGTTCCAGTTCTGCACTCTTAACCACTACACCACACAGGCTCTTTATGAGCTGTCCTTGTTTTCACCTTCAGTGGGTTATGCCATTCAAGCCCAGATAACCCAGGTGAGCTTCAACAGACAGTGAGCATCTTGGAAAGAATGGCAGAACCACTGTGCTGCTCTTGATAAATTGCTCTTGGGTGAGTGCTACTGACAGAAACCTCCAAAGTGCTCAAGCAGAATTTGAGGGCTGCTGTCAGAAGTTTTCACTTGCTCACAGCAGCATGGAACTCCCATCCTTGCTCAAGGGCTGACCAGTAAGGATGGTCAGGACCTGCTCCTCCTCCTTAAGGGGGTGTGAGGAACAATGGCAAAGAGGAGCAGCCATCCTTGCCCATGAGTGGACCTCTGAAGCGTCAAGTAAGGATCTGCTCTGGAGCAGGAGTCAAGGATCAGCAGCTCCCCTGTCCTTTCTGTTGCACTTCATGGCAGGAGCCCTATTTGTGCAATGGAGATAATGAAGAGTTTAAAAAATATTCTTCTGGTTCCTGTTGCATAAATAGGCTCCAGCCCCTGAAGTACAATGGAATCACCTTCCAGCATCAGCTGAGGCAACATGCTGCAAGAAGGCAGCACCCTGTACATTACTCTGAAATTGGAAGCACTTCGCCCCAGTTGAGGCTGTTAGGGAGAGCAATTCCTTGCATTGTTACCTGGGATACCACTTGGAGGAATGAGGGGTAGGAAGAAAGGGAGGGAGGGAACTCAATAAACCTGATTGTCTGTTGGCACTTCACAAAAACAGCCAACACATCCTAAGTGTTACCCATGGTGGACTGTGAATTTACTTCTGAAGCAAAATTAACCATGGAAATCACTTTTGCAAATAACGTTGACATTTAGTTTTAACACTAAAGCACTGTTAAATCAGACGTAACAGGATGCTTCCATGTCTGATTACTACAATGGTGAGTTTTCTTGGTATATGGTTGTGTGATTGAGTTCTAATTATTCAGAAATTATTCACACATATTATAGTACCTTTTCCCATGGACAACAGCTCCTGGGTCTTGAGATTTTGCTTCCAACTCCTGAACTTCATCTACTAGCGTCTTAAATGCTGCTCGCTTGATTCTGCAATGAAAAATGCTTTTGAATCATTCATTCTGGAAGTCTTAAGTCTTTGGCTGTGAAAAACTAAAACATAAATTGATTTTGTCCAGTTATTTAAAATTTGACTCAAAGTAATGTTAATTAAAAATGTAGACCAAATATTACACTTTAGCAGTTTGCAGGTTGTCCAGATTATAAATGAATTTTCAGGATTAACTGTTGCTGAATTGGGAAATTATTCTTAAATAAACATTCAGCTCACAGATGTTATATACACTTCAGAAACTACTAAACAAATATGTGATGTGTCTTTTTAAAAACAGTATTAACAGTATACAAGATTACATTTATATTAACATTGTTTCTTTTCAAAGAGTTACCATCTCTTTTAAATTTGCTTTAATCTTAGTATCTGTAAAGGGAGCTCATAATTTAGTAGCCTAAATAAAGTACTGTGTTACTAATACATGGGCATATTAATTTTGCTCAAGGCACATAAGTGAAAAGCATAATACTTACACTTTGTATACTACGTCGAAGATCAGTGCTGTCATTGGAATACTAAATAAGCCCATCCAGAAGACACCAGAACTGAACAACATAGCTGCCTGCATACATTTTTAAAAAGGAGTTAGGTATGCAAGAAAACAATGAATTTAAGTAGAATGACTGAAAAATAATAATTTAAAAAAATGAAACAAAGAAAGAATGAAACAAAAAATGCTCCTAGAAAAGAATCAGGCACCAAATTAGGAGCCCAGCAGGGACATTATTTTACTCAGTATAGTCCACCATTTCTCCTTTCCTAATCCAAGAAGATGAGAAAAGCATTATTAATGTATGGTTAATTGACAAGTATCTGTTTAAATTTCAGTTTTTTCATCCTTAGTATGAAAAAACATAATGTACCATGACATTTGGAAAGTAAATTTTGTGTAATCATTTCTGGGCAGAGGCTTATAAATATCCCTTTCCTCAAAGCTTCAAGTAATCAAGGGATCGTAACTCCTAAGTGATCAGATCTCCTAATTTTACAGGGTGCCGTAAGGGAAGAGATACTTGTGTTGTTTCATCTAGTTTGACAGATGAACAAAATGTTTACAAAATTCAATTTTTCAGGGTAATATGTAAGTAGCATAAACATTTTCAAAATGAACAATAGTTTTAAAAATGAAGTAATTTTAGATAATTCTACACATTCTTTAAACTTGAGTTTTAAACAAACTCCAATCCAGAGTAGGACAAGGAAAATATCTTTATGTAGAACACTGCTTTTAAAAACTTCTGTCAAATGGTAACACTTGATGATGCATCAAAACCTATTTTCCTAGAACAAAAAATTTCCCTGGACAATTGGAAAGTTTTCCTGCTTCCAACCAGGGCAATTCTATCTAACTATACTCCTTGTGCTCCCAAGCTAATACAGAGTAATGAGAAAAGCTTCGGAGTGTTTAGCAAGCAGGCAGGGACAGTTATAACTAGGGTGGGAAATCAGTGACCCCACCCCCTCTCCATGCAAGAGCCGAAATGAGGGGACTTTATTCAATAAAGGAATATTTATTGCACTTTTAGTTTATTTTGCACCTAGGCTTCAGGGCAAGTAACAATATGCAAATAATACCTAAATCTAAACTCCACCAAATATAAGGAGCAGCCTATGATTCTTTTGATGGTTGGTGGAGTTTGGCGCTCCACAATTAAAGAACAGCTCTTCCCCACAAAAAAAGTAATTATGACCAGGTACATTCAAGCAAGGTTTCAGGATCATCATATAAAAAAGGAAAGTAGGATATGTAATGTTACAAATGTTGAAGTCAGAAATGAACATAATTGTATGTTCTATAAACTATTAAAATATGCAACACAAACCATAACCATAATATATAGCTTCAAAGAAGAAAAAAGAAAGGAATCTATAAGTAAAAAAGATTTTAATAATCATATAATTTTCATCATGTCGTATTCAGTTCTTAATGTTACTACTCCTTGGTGAACACTATGTGGTAAACCTTTTCTAATATATGACTGATAAACAAGTTTAATTCCTGAATTAAAGGCAAAATGGAATTTGACATGATTCAAAGAACACTCTCTCATTTTTAAATTATTCTTAATGACATTTTAAGGTTAGGGGAACACAGCAAAGAGCTATCCTTGTGTAAGCCACCATGTATTAAACGTTCCTGGGTGAAACAGCAGAAGTGATAATGTAGGTCTTAGGGTGTTAATTCTGACTATTGTAATGCTAACTATGAATGAAGGAACAACTGGCGCCTACCATTCAGTCATTCCAGCCTTTGGCTTTACAAATGAGCAACATGAATTGAGGGGGGAAAAGTTTTCTGCATCATATTTGAAAGCCTGTCAGATTTTTTTCTTTTGGGGAGTTAATCCAAAACTAAAAGATTTTAAGCCGACATTCCCATTAAAGACAGAAGGCTTCATTGTATATTTGGATGAAGAGGGAGAAAAATAAAATCCCACTGAGGTATTTCCTTTCTGTACAAGAAAGCGCCCTCCTTCCTCAGTAGAACCAGTTTTGTTTCTAACTTTTCACATCTCTCCTCACATAGGCAGGTCAGCTGGGAAATGGCAAACTGATCCATTTTAGACAATGGTGTGAACAGGAGAAGCCTGTTCTGAGGATAAATTTTGTTTGCCTTGTTTGTGATTTATACATTTATCCTAATGTGTGAGATCTATGGTTTATGCCAGATTTCCTCTGCTGTACCCACTTCTGGCCCCACAAAGCAAAGTGGACTGCTGCAAAAGTGGCTTCCAGAGAAACATAACCAGAACTGAAAAAAATCAAATTCCAATTAAAGGCTTCATTATATTTTGATAAGTTGTTAAATATTAAAAGCTGTCAAGACAAAATGTCTACACTGGTGTATTCAACACTGCAACTTGAAAAAGACACTGAAAGTCATAATAAATGCAATGACATCAAGCTGAAGTGTATAGGAAGTGTACTTAATAATTTTGAACAATGTAAAATATATGTTTAAGAACAAGAGGATTATGTCAAACAACCCAAAATGCATCAGTGAAAAAGGAAGTTTCACAATTTAAGCAATCATGTATGTGTACTATTATTATTGTAATATTGATATATGAAATATTCCTTTTTATTTGTTGGTATCTAATTTCCCCTTCTCTAAAGTAAATAATGTATTTTGTTTAAGAATGGGGTATGACTGATTAGATATATGCATATTAAAATGCATACAGATCAGCATTTCTGATTATCATTTTTATATAAATAAACTGAGTTGAGCCTGCTGGTTCTAGCCCATCTTCCCTGCATTCCAAAGAACCATATTAATGAAATCTATCAGCATATGCCTGAAAGACTCCTGCAAGTGTGATCTGGGGCCCTTCATATGCTAGGATATTGCACTGTTACCATAATCAGGAGTGTAAGGTTTGTGCCAATACTATCTCTGAACTTGTGCAGGTCAGCAGCATAGCACACAGTAATTAATGTCAGAAAAGGAAAATAAAATGTAAGGACAGGCACTGATGCTCAAAATGGTGAGAAGTGCAAAGAATTGTGAAGAGCTGGTTGGTGAAAGAAGATATGAACTACCACTATTTTCTCAACCTTTCTTTGTGAAAACCATATAGCACTTCGGTTCATTTTCCACTCTTTGTTTTGCTTCCCTTAGTTTTAGATGGTCAGTCTTGGCACCCTCTGTCCAAATGAAGTAAGAGACAACTTCCCTTTCAGTTACGTTGTTTAGCCAGAACGAATCCTACATACCACAAGTTTTAGTTGACTGATCATCAATAACTGTAAGAGGTGGATTGTCCCTAAACTTAGAGGAGAAATGCTTTTTGTAGCTAAGGAATCCTTAGAGCCAGAACCCTGTGACCTACACACCTTGTACAACCATCTCACAGTCACTCTAGCTTCAACAGTACATTTCTCACCAGCAAAGACAGTCTATCATGATTACTCATTACTCTGAGTACTTCTTTTTGTTGTCCTGGAATTTCAACATAACCCCGAGTTCCTGTTTTTCACCTCTTTCATTGACCAGACTCACTGAATTAGACTGCAGATGACCCTCCAATCAAACAAGCTGGTGATGATTCCTCCCTTAGGGTTCACCAATGAAATTCCAATTAGTATTCTGGAAGGGTATAGCCACTATTGTAATGACTGTGGATAGCTGCTGTAAATAGCAACTGTGATATGCTATGGAAGGAGAAAAACCAATGCAGGGATAAAGTATGGAAGCATTACTAGCTGAACATATCCTGATAGGACATGTAACAGCTAAGCCTGAAACATTAGATCAAGTTGCTTAGCCTTTATTGTCTCTGCCACCATCTGAAAGATCTTGCTCTTCCTTTCTTCTTAGAGAAACAGCCTGCACACTGTACATATCCTGAATCACTCTGGATCTAATTCAAACAGTCTTCGTTTGAATGAGCTTTTCTGTATGTTCATAATAAAGCTGTGCATCTGAAGATAGCCCAAAGCTGTCTGAACATCCTCAATCCATTTCTCTTTGGTACAGATCAGTTGAGTATATTGTCTTGTGGACACAGGTAATTTTCCATCTGTCTCAAGTGAGCTTCTAACAGTGGTAGAATTTTTGTAAATACCCATGGTGCAGATGTTAATCCAATGGGTATTGCCTTGTGATGGTAGTGTTTGTGATGAATGGACCTAGCTGTCTTTGGAGAAATCTACTGATGCCAGGAGGCCTCTGACAGAAGAACTGCTACCATTGACTTCAGAGTTTCCATCCTGAAGTGGAATTTCTGGCTGGATTTCTTCAGCCATTTTAATTACAACAGGGCTCTGAAATCCTGATTTTTCCTGGGAACCCAGAAACCCAATCTGTTCCTGTGGAACTGGTTTATAGACCAGATGTTCAACAGGTGCTCAATAGCTGTTTTGAACAAATGTGCTTCGTGGAGTTTTTGGACTTTGAAATAATCCCAAATTACTGGAATGATGTGTGAAATCCAGGGTAACAGTGGGAAACTGACTCCAAAGACCAAGCACCTGTTTTTATCATTGACCATTGCTGAGCAAACTGTAGGAGCCTGTCCTCTACTGGACCTTGGGGTTTGTGAGGCTTGGCATTAGGAAAAGTGCAGCTTCTTCAACACTTTGCCCATGCTGCCCACTTTGCCCCAGCACTACTTGCTGACGGGTAGTGCTTTTTGTACGATTCCCTGCTATGTGGAGACACAGTATTGGAACCTGAGAATCTTATGATCTGCCAGTGGATCTAGAAGATGCAAACTGTATTGAATCTGGGTCTTCTTTCCTTCCTTTTTGGAGGTAGGAAGCCTCTTGGTTTTGTTCTTTTTGTACACAAGTCCTTTGTCAAGGGGTTTCCAACAGCTTTACACCAGCAAAACACAAGCTAGTTAGATTGATCTGTCAATCTAACAGTCAACATCCATCCCAGATGCACAGCTGCATGTGTAACTTCCACAACTAATTCCTCACCAGGATTGAAACAGATTCCATTGTTTCTAGGTTCTGAACCTGGATGTTGACTGCTCTGGCAAAAAAGGAGTTTGTGGTGGATGCTCAGAAGACAGTAGTAGTTGTTTCAAAATCCTTACCAAGTGCCATCTCACACCTTATTACTTAAGTCCTATGGCCTACCCTTTCCAATCTTCTATCTGCTGAGTGCTGCCATGGGAGCATCAATGTGTGGCACCTTGAGCTGATTCATAATCTCCTGAGGCAGCATGTAAAGCTGGAAAAGCCTGCTGATCTTAGGTGACACTTGAGTTAAATCCTCAACTAATAATTCACCCTCTTCCTGGGATAGGAGTCAGACTGGATATCTCAAGCAATTGAAGAGAGCTGCGCAGCCGCCCTTGCCCCCTCCCCCACCAGCGTGGGTGAGAGCTATGCCGGATTGGGGGCGGGGACAAGCCACTGGCATAACTGATGATGTGGACAAGGTGCTTGAACAAGTACGTCCCACCACTTGCTTATTGGACCCTTGCCCATCTTGGCTACTTAAAAAAGCCCAGCATGGGACAGGGGCCTGGATCCTGGAGGTTGTCAACGCCTCTCTGAGGGATGGCTGGGTACCTGCCCCTTTAAAGGAGGCGGTAGTTCGGCCAGTCCTAAAGAAGGCATCCCTGGATCCAGAGATGGCCACCAATTATGGACCGGTGGCCAACATCCTGTTCTTGGGCAAGGTGTTAGAGTGGGTGGTGGTGGGACAACTCCAAGCACTCTTGGACTGATTATCTGGACCCATTTCAGTCCTGCTTCAGACCCGGGTATGGTACTGAATCTGCCTTGGTCGCCCTGTATGATGACCTGTGCAGAGAGAGAGACAAGGGGAGTGTGTCCCTGTTGGTCCTCCTGGACCTCTCAGTGGCTTTCGATACCATTGACCATGGTATCCTTCTGGATAGGCTAGCGGGACTGGGAATAGGAGGCATTGCTTTGCAGTGGTTCCGCTCCTATCTCAATGGCCGATTCCAGAAGGTGGTGCTGGGGGACTATGGCTCTGTGCCATGGCAGCTATGCCATGGAGTACCACAGGAATCCATTTTGTCCTCCCTGCTATTTAACACCTACATGAAACCGCTGGGAGAGGTCATTAGGAGGTGTGGGCTGTGGAATCATCAGTACGCTGATGATACCCAGCTCTACCTCTCTTTTTCAACCAATCTAGGTGAGGCAGTGGCTGTAGTGAACCGGTTCCTGGCCGAGGTAATGGGCTGGATGAGGGCCAATAAACTGAAGCTCAATCCAGAGAAGACGGAGGTCCTGTTGGTAGGCGGTTCGGGCTTCGGGGTAGGGGACCTAGACCTTGTCCTGAATGGGGTTGCACTCCCTCTTAGGGACATGGTTCGCAGCTTGGGAGTGCTCCTCAACCCAGAGCTGTCGTTAGAAGCTCAGGTGACAGCGGTGGCAAGGAGCGCTTTCCTTCAGCTTCGGCTGATCTATCAGCTGTGTCCCTACCTGGAGAACGACTGCCTGGAGATAGTGACACATGCTTTGGTAACTTCCCAATTAGACTTCTGTAATGCGCTCTCCATGGAGCTGCCCTTGAAGACGGTCCAGATACTTCAGTTGGTGCAAAATAGAGCTGCCAGGTTGCTGCCAGGGACTGGGTGTTGTTCTCACATAACCCCGGTCCTCCTTCAGCTTCACTGGCTCCCCATTGAAGTCCAGGCCCACTTCAAGGTGCTGGTTATCACCTAAAAAGCCCTTAACGGCTTGGGACCTGGTTATCTAAAGGAGCACTTGTGTCCATATTTGCCCTCCTGCCCCTTGAGATTGGCGGCAGAGGCCCTTCTCCGGGAACCCTCTGTGAAAGATATTAAGAGGGTGAGTACCCGGAGGAGGGCATTATCTGTGGTGGCACCCCACTTATGGAATGCGCTCCCCAGAGAGGTCTGCCTGGCGCTGTCATTATTTGTTTTTCGGCGCCAGGCCAAGACCTTTTTATTTAAATGTTATTTTAATGTTGAATTTATTTATTGATTTTATATTTATGCCGGGATGTCTCCATATTTTATGTATTTGTAGTTATTTATTTGTATTGGAAGCCGCCCCGAGGCTTTTGCGAATGGGGCAGCATTAAGTGTTCCAAACAAATAAATAAACAAATACATAAACAAATAAATAAATAAATAAATAAATTTCTTCTTCACTCTTCCCTGACTGGAGAAGACAAAGATGATGTGAATATAGGTATGAACTGAGCCAACATTATGTCATCATTCAGGAAAGGCTAGTTAGCTGATACCTCAAGGAGTTATTCAAGGTGCCAGCTGAGCAGGTTTACCCACCATTCCCAAGCAGAGGATGAAACAAGCTCCAGACTTAGCCAGCACCTCAAGATACTGCTGAGTTCAGGACCAGCTTTGCCTGCTCTTTACCATTTCTACTGAAGAAAGCTGGTAGACTGGTAAAGCCTATTGAGAGTGTCTCCTTAGTCGTGTGTGAGTCATGTGTGAAAGGTGTGTGTGTGGAGGGAGAGGGACAATATATGTGTGAGTAACTCAGGGACAAGAATATGAGGAGCTCCATGCTGCCCACAACTGTGGTACTGCCCATTGCTAGTATGCAACCCATTGAAAATCAAGTCTAGACAGTGATTCACAAGTTCCAACAACTGCATGTTAGTGCTGGATGGAAAAGATATAGCTGAACAAACATTTCAGCTCAAACATCTGTTTGACATTCCCCAGTTTTCTCAAGTAAAGCATGGTCAATACTATCAAAAGCTGGTGAGAGGCTCAGGAAAACCTACTGAGTTGCATTGCCTTCATCTACTCCCTGACATAACTCATTCACTAGGATGACTGAACTTGTTTCTGTCCAGAGTCAGGCAAGAAATTTGACTGGACTGGATCAAAACAATCAGACTTATCCAATACTTCAAATGTTGTGAATTAATTTCTCCATCGCTTTAATATTTTAGCATAAGTTTATTCTGATTTATGTGCTTTGATTGTGTTACTATTGTTTCATTTTGATTTGTTGTGTGTGTATCACCTTGAAACCTTTTGTGAAAAGTGGTTCATAAAATAAATTATATTGCATGCTCACTAAAAAAGTGGCCAATTTTAAGATTAGAATACATTTCTACACAGAAATTAGTTAAAGGATAAATATTACCTCCCCAGACATATCAGGTGCCATTGGAATGAGAGGCCACAAAGAAGAGTAGATTCCAAAGAATACCACCCACAGTGCAATGCTGCCCCATATAGCTATATGGCTGAACTAGAAAGAAAAAGAGAAAACACATATTCCGTTATCTTGCAAATTCCTATAAAATAGCTATTCACCACCACCACCACCACCACCACCACATTATACCATCCATAGCCAAACCTCCCTGGGCAATTCAAAACATTTTAAGTCACCCATCCAGATTTCAACCATGCCTGACCCTGCTTAGCTTCCAAGATTATACATGGAAGAAATATCTGTTCCTAGAAGTTGAATTTTTATTATAAATAGGCTATGGGCTCAGTCCAGAGGAGTTTAGAATATGTCTTAAATGTCTTCTCTATAAGGAAAAAATAACACTGGGCATGCAAAAGTAATTACATTCATCTAAAGTAAGGAACTACAGATCCTGGCTATCGTTCCTAAGTCCAGTTCTTTCCTATTGCCTCTTTTTCTTTGCTTGTGACTAAGAATTTGCAGGAAAACAGGCAGATAAAAGGGTATCTCTCTGGAATAGTTCCTAGCAAAATCTGAACAAACAAAAAACTAATTTGAAGAGGCAGCACTTCATTACATAAAATTCTTACCAAAGTCCAATATGAAGTTTCTAATCCGGCTTTTAAACACACAGTTATTACCACAAACTGGAAAAAAATAGAGAAATTAGTTATTTTTCTTTAACAAATACAGCAGTGTTTAAACCCTAAATGAAATACAAAGTTCCAAAGTGAAATCCATATTTAACATTAAGTGTGATTCCACTTAATGTTAAGCATCTTAAGCTTTAGTTTTATATGTGTGTGGAAGTATGATGCTTGTGGGTGGGAAGAATCTGTGTGTGTGAGTATGCATGGAAAAGTGTATATGTGGGTTCCTTGTGAGGGAAAGGTGGATATAAATATAATAAATAAAATACAAATGTCTTGTACACACAGACATACATGTTCACATCCTGTCTCCTGAAGAGACACTGCATGGGGCCCTCAGGACCAAAAGACTGTGTCCTACAGATTTAGAAGGAAAAGCTCTGTATCACTGTGGCACAATGAATGCTTAAGTGGAGAGAGCTACATAGTATCTTGGGAGAAACTGCTTGCACAACATGCAGGGATGCAGCCAAAGCCAAAAGTGTCCACTAGAAACTTAACACAGCAAAAGGGTTTCTTTGTAAAGTTAGTCTAACAAAAAGTACAGTGAAGAACAATGATCAATTTTCATTACTCTCTTTTGTTTATAATACAACCTTGTGCAACATTATCAATACTTACTGTATATACTGCATTTCCCAAAAGCAAGTAATCTGACGTTTTACCACTGGCAAATACAGTATCTGTAAGATAATTTCATCACATATATTAAAATTGGGATCATTTAAGAAAAGAATTTATTAAAAAAACAATTCTATTTTACAATGGTCAGAATGCAACATTTGTAGAATATAACCATTGATTTATCTCTCACCAGGTAAGGCAGGCAGGTATAAGTTAAACCCTTCCTCCCTGAGGAACCACAGAGATGGAAGAGCGAACTATGGAGGCTGGGAAGAAGGCATCAACCACCCTCACCACTCTCCTGCTGAGAGAGGAAGCTGCAGAGAACTTGGAGAAAGAGTAAAATGCAGTGTCCTTCAGTAAAACAGTGCCCTCCTGTGACTCCAGGTTAAATTGTTCCTGCAACCATTGTCAAACTCCTGAGCTGCCTGGAGTGGAGATTCATGAAGAATCAGCCCAGTATACAAGTTCCAAGTTGGAAGAGAGAGATACACTCTCAAACCTGAGACTCTAAATGAAAGCTATGAACTTCAAAAGGCCTTCTAGCAACCTAACTTACTTGAGAAGTGTATTTGGAAGAAGAGGCCACAGATATAAGAAACAAGACAGACTTGGGGTAAAATAAACTAGGTTGCTTTCCATCCTAAAGTATTACCCTTTGGGGACTGCCCCTGGTAAAACAGATTCCACAGAAGTGAAGAGCAGTAAGCAAAAAGCGAGTAGAAGGAAGGAACTGTAAATTCCTCCTTTGAGGTGCTTTGCTTTTTGTTGAAAATATGAGTCACAAACTAGAAGCATCAAGGGCAAGTAGTTTTAAAGCTGATTTAAACTGAAAACAGGGCAACTGCATATCTTCATAAGGTATCTTCTTTCTAATTCCAATCAGAAGCAGTTTCCCTCTTCATTTAAATAAATATTTCATAGATTTTGATTGGATGAAAGTTTTCAGAACGGCTGATTAAGAGAGCTAATCCATTCTCATTTATAAAAAGACATTGAAGGATGCTTTTGCTTTTATCAGTGCCAGATTGAGGGGATGGGAATTCCTTCCCAGCAGAGAAGATAAAGTTGCAAACTGGCTTTGCTTTCTGCTTAAGCAAAAGTTCTTCAAATGTCTCCTTATTCTCCAAAGAGCAAGAGATTTATGGTGCAGAAATCTCTGTTTCACTCCTCTCTCTAACAGGAAAAAAGCAAAACTCATGGGGATTTAGCTGAGAAAATGGCACTGTGGCAAAGCATTCCCACTTCTAGAGGCACTGGTATGAACAAACTGGAAACCCCCGCCTTCATAGCCCTGCTTAAATAAATAAAAATTGTCTGTTTGAGCTGCAGTTTTTATAATTTCAGTAATAATTATGATAAGTATTTCATTAATGGTACTGAACAGAGCAGTAATCTAGAGTTTTCTGCCTCATTAACTGAGCAATAGATTTATTTAATAAACAAAAAACTGCAAATGGCAAGCACCATCTTCAGAGGAATTCCCTTTTGCCTTTAGAAGATGTATTTAGAAGGGAATTCATCTTCTAAGATGGTGTGTGACAACACATGTATACATCACTGAAAGAAAGCATACATTTGCCTTCAGAACTATTGTTTATACTAGTATGCAGTTTTAAGAAGCAATCCTGTGCCACCACAGAAGGGCAATGGAGTAGCCATAGGACCCTTCAGACATTCATCTCTGTAGGTGTCTTTGGAAGATTAATGTTCTCACAATGGTAGAGGAAGAAGTAGTCCACAAGCAGAGGGTAGTTCATGGGAGGGAAAATTTTAGAAGGATGATTGAGTATGAAGAGAAAAAAAGAAGAAAAAAGGAAAGAAAAAATATTTCCTATCTTTTTTCTGACCTGCACTCAATCACTCATAAATTTCTCTAAGAAAAGGGTTAGGAATATCCCTAGGCATATCCCTCTAGCAATAAACCATAGTTTATCATTACATCTGAATGCATCTTATGGGTCATATCCAAAAGGTTCTCTTTCTCTGATGAAAACTCATTTGACTTTGAACAAACCTCCTCTGCTCATAAAAATGAATTTTTGGATTGAATTTAATTATTTCTATTCTGCTAAAGAAATGTTTTCCAACCAAGGACTAGCTTAATAGAAAACTTAAGTCTTTTAGTTTTTAAATTGGTTTACCTTGGCTCATAACTAACTGAGCATTTTAAATGCTGGAAGAATGCATAATTTTCATTCTGAAACATTTCCAATACACTTCTATCACCTTAGCTAACTTGCACAGCTTTTTAGGAAGTGTCTTTATACATCCCTCCATATTGCTTGATCCAAAAAGAATTATAACTGAGATGTATTAACAGTGTTATATTATTGCCAGTTTACAAGGATTACACAAATATTTAACCATTATACCCCAAATCACATTAGAGCAAGTATTAAAATTATATTTTGCTCTCAAACTGAAAATAGAAAAATATACAGCTGTTTAGAAGGAAACATTTTAGTATTCAAGTCTTTAGAGGACAGACTTTTCTTTAGTGTATCACTAGAGACTGTTATTTTAAATACATACAGTATTCTCAAATTCTGCATTTAATTTACTTACCATATTGGATGGCCTTTAGTGGAAACCAAAACAGAATTACTGAGTGGAAGAGGCCATTTAAACAATGAACCCAGAAAACCTAAGGGAAAACAAACATTCATGAGAACCATTTGTGATAAAACTAACTCTGTGAACTCTGACCTCCTTTTTAATCTTTTTGTTAGGTTCAGAAAATGTGTTTTTGAAAAGCCACCTCTAAGAACGAATATAACTGAGGCATTTTCTGCCTCACAGATCTTCATGGGTCATTTATTTATTTTTATGTTTCTCAAATGATGTCCATTATCTTTCACCTTTAATTTCTTAAGAAAAATGTAAAATGTTTAACATAGTTAAAGCCAAAATTAAAATAGAAAACAAGAAACTAATGTTAAATGCCACCACACTAGCTATCATTAGTGCTTTCATTCTAGTTTCCTGATCAATATAGATGAGGAATAGAAGAGTTAGCTGTCAATATATATACAATGAATTTCTGCACCCCGCACATCTTTCTATAATGGCTTATTTACTATATACACAGCTGCTAAAAAATTAAGTGGTCAGTATATTCAAATATATATATTCAGTACTTTTGCAATATATGCAAACTACTTGTGTTTGACACTTCTTTTCTACAGAAAGTAACCATGTCTTACAGTCGGATATACTTTTATAAAATATAAATTTTCCTGTGTTAAATTGAAGAGCATTAATAATTTTAATTTGTTGAAATAATAGAAATTATGTTGCTTGCCCCCAAAATTTTCCACCATGTCTTTAACTTCTTTATTACTTTATCTAACAATATAAGGTTGATCCAATTTATGCTACAATGCTCTGCACATTTGAACTTGTGTTACTCGTTAACCTTTGTCTCTTCTCCTTGCTGTGTCACTGCCACAAGTTTTATTTGACAGAAAGCACAGGTGGGTGCAAGAAAATTAGACCTGTGTTTTCATTTTCCTGACCAATACTTATTGTCACATGCTAATCCTTTAACCTCTGTCATGGCCCCATGAACTCTGACCCTTTTTACCATAACAAATCTATGCATCATCATTCAGGGCAACAATGATTCCAGATCTTGTTCACATCAAACTTGCATCAACTGTTCTGTTATCATAGGTAGACTGTAGCCATTTATTCACAAAACTTATTCAATAAAGTATATAGTCCATATCTGCTCTTCTAAAAACCAATAATCAAAACAGTTGCAACTAAATTGGGCACACAAGTATAAAGAAATCTCAAATATGGTGCAAAACCTTATCCCTCTATATAGTTTAGTTTCCCCATTAAAATGTTAAATATTTGTTTAAATATTTGGAGGCTATTTGGAGCTCATTTGGGGCTATATAACTATTTTGATTAATTAATTATAGGCAACCGACAATATAATCTATGGACACCAGAGCAAAAAGAATAGATGTAAATTAAAAAAAAAACTTTGTAATTTAAGAATAAAAAGTCTCTGTGTTTGAATTTGTTTTATGCTACACACTACCCTGATGTTTGATGTGATTATTATATAAAAATGGTTTAAATATATAAATACAATTCAGATTCAAACAAACAAAGATCTGCTTTGTTCAATTCAAATATTACACACATTTTCCTGGTTAATTTTGGTGGTCATTTCAAATATTATTTCATCCTTTAAAAATTGTTTATGAATTTGTATACAATTTGATCAAAGCTTGGTTGAATTTTAAATCTTAGTTATATCTTTAGTTACCTGTGAAAATTAGACAAGCAAAAACAGATTCCATTTGCCTGTTCATTTTTTACTGTTCATTTATGTATACATTTTCATCAATGTAGCTGGGGCAAAATATAGTTTTATTATTAATCATATATTTCAATCCTATTTACTCACACAGGGTTGAAATAAAAACCTGTATAATAGCATGATAATGATTAGCGTTAAATATTAAACTTTGTAAAAACTATTTTTTACCTTGGAGTTAAAATCCAGGGCATTTTGAGAAGTTTTGTATAATTCAGGGTATTTTAGCATATTTTCTTTGCGACATGATCTCTCAAATATTCCAAGTGTCAGTGGAGGCATAGCTGTAAACATCTAATGCATAAAAGAAATATACCATAAGATCAATTGCATAAAGAATAGCTTATTTTAATAATTAAAAATGTCAAAAAAACAAACAAACAAAAAACAAATTCTTACCACATTGTAAAGTCCTATGCACCACCTTTCAAATAGTATTTGTCCAGAAAATCCATTAACAAATGCAAACCATATCTGAAGAAGAGATTTTAAACAGATATTCATATTCAAATCAGTACTTTTATTAAGCCTGAAAATGATTTGTTAAAACTGAATATATTTTCAGTTTTATCAAAATAAGAATGTGTGATGAATAATTAGGAATTCAATGTATAACTGGACCTTACACAAGGTTCTCAACACAGTACTTGCAAAGCTCTTCATTCCCGCCCCCTTCAAAAATTTATTTTTAAAGAAAAAATTGAAAAATATTATGGCACCAGATTCTTTTCCAGATTCAGCTGCTGAATCAGCTGTTCAGCAGGCAGGAACAGAAGGAAAAAGCTGCTTCCTGGACCCAACTGATCTACTTTCATCCAATGCAGACCTTTTCACTTTGTTCAGTCACTCAGTTCCCAGGCTCCAAGCTTGCAACTTCTCTCTTCCCAACCCCCTTTCCTCATTTGTTCTCCCTCTCCTTATCCCTATCCTTCTTTCACACCCTACCTAGCTCCTAGCCTTGCTCTTTTCCTCCCAGTCATCTCTTTAGCTGCTTTTGCTTACTCCCAGCCTTCAGTCTCACTCTACTCCTTTGCCATGCTGTTTCTTCCTTCATCTTAGCCTCTATCCTTGCCATTTCTCTCTACTGCCACTTGCTTTGACTATCCAGGCCCCCACAATAGCCATTATGTGACAAGCTACTCCATGTAAGCCATTTTGTGATGATGCAAGATGTGCACATGGGTTCACAAAGTTTGGGACCCCCTGTATTACAGAAAACACTGGTGTGAAATAATATTTATAACGCCACTGTTCTCATAGTAATAGTATTCTGTATTCCACATAATCTAAGATAAATTAAATATAAAGGCCTAATAAAGGTGCAATTCTGTAGTCTGTGGGAAGGTTCCCCAAGGATAATGCGGATTCCTCAACATAGGCAGGAGTCAGTCTACTGCAATGATAGAAAGTTCAACCACTGTGGCTGCCCTGCAAAAGGGAGACATTTGGGCATGGCCAGGGAGGACTGGGAGAGTCACTGAATCCACCAAATTAAAAATCCCTTTGTTTCCCAACACCCCACCCTCCCAAATAGGGAAGCAACTAATGGACTTAGGAGGGGTTTAAAGTGATAATGTTTCCTCCCCTTGCCCTTTATGACTCTTCTGCTCCATTGCTATCCTATATATGCCTACTTGGTAGTAACCATTGGCTGCAATCCTATATATTTATCTAACTGAAATCAATGCAGCTTACTTCTGATAGACCTTTTCCTTAATTTTTTTTACCACAGTCATATGGCTGCCTGTCAACATATGCTGTATGGCTGGCTTACAGAATTGAGAATAAACTCTAGTGAGAACCAAAATAAAAAAATATAGCATATACAGCCTAAAACCTCCTTTTCTACCAACATTTAACACTGTTTTTAAATGCCAATTGTTTAAAAGGCCTGGCTGAATAACATGTTTTCAACAGGTACTGGATCTACAATTAAGGTTGCATCCAGCAATTCTCTCTAGTAAGTCCATTCCATATATGGAATGCCACTGGCAAAAAGGCCCTTTCACCAGTAGTCACACATCTCACACCATTTGATGGATGCACACAGAGATGGACCTCTGAAGAGTTTCTTAAGGTCTGGGTACCTATATGTGGTATGGAACCCTTTATGTAACTTGGTCTAAAGCAGGAACAAGATTTAAAAGTTAAAACCAGCATTTTAAGTTGGGCCTGGAAATGGACTGGAAGTTGCAACAAAGTATACCAGCTATGGCTCAAATCACCCTTTGAGCCATGGAGGCACTTGGCATATATATGATTGCCGTGTATAATTCTACAATCTGACTTGTCAGTTCTTTAATCGATGAAACCCCCTCTTGGATCCACATCTTAATGTGGTGAGGAGGTTTGAGAATGTCAAAGAAGCTGAGAGCAATGCTGTTAGGAAGCCAGTATAATTTCACTAGGCTGGCCTCCTCGCAGGGTCACCCAAGGTCAAGAATGCTCAAGGCTGGGACACCAGACTAAGATTACCCTCTTCAGGGGTAATGGTCCTATCAACAAAAGGAGAATGGATCCAATTAGTGGTGTTGGAGGTGGAGAAACTACTGAAGAGCAGCTACTGGGCAGCAGCGGTAGTCGAAGCACTGGTGGAGGATCTTTTGCAGACATCAGCAATGGGACTCAAGCTAACTCTGAATTTTCTGATTGAAAACTCTATGATGAAACAATTCAAAATGAAACAAGAGATAGTGCCAGAAGATGAAACCCTCAGGTTGGAAGGCACTTAATGAGCTACTGGGGAAAGGCAAATACTAGCAGCATTTCCGCTAATGATGCTACTAGATCATAACTGAAAGGAAGTCTAATGGCTGAAATGCACAGAGGTGAAAGGAAAGTCTGATGCTGCACAACCCATACAACTGGAAAAATGAAATGTGAGAATCATGAATCAAGAGAAGCATGGAAATTGTAAAGCGAGAAATGAAAGAATGAGCATCATAGAACTTGGGTGTGAGTAAACTGGAATGGGATGTTTCCAATCAGTGTTTTACTCTGGAATGACAAAAAAAAATGGAGTGGCTCTAAGACTGAGGCAAGATGTAGCAAAGGCAGTAAGAACCTATAATGCGAAATCCAACCAAATAATACCAATCAGAATTAGTGGAAAACTTATCTACATAACCACCTTCAAGTCTATGTTCCAACAACAGAAACTGAAGAAGAATAAATTGAAAACTTTTATACAGGTGTTGAAGAAAAAATTGATAACACAGCAAAATAAGACATGCTGTTAATGCTGGGCGAATGGAATGCAAAAGTAGAAAACAAAGGAGCATCAAATATTGTAGAAAAATTTGGTTTAAGGGTAAGATACAAAGCAGGAGAACAACATAGAAATTTGCGATGCTAACAGTCTGTTTATCGCAAATACATGCTTCAAGCAAGTAACCAGATGACTGTTATAGGATGTCACCAGATGGCCAACAGAGAAATAGATTAGGTAATCAGAAGCAGAAGATGGTGAAGCTGTATTCTAGCTGCCAAAAAAGACCAGGAACAGGATATGATAATGACTATCAGAGTCTAATTACAAAAAGCAAAGTCAAAAAAAGATAAAAAAACAGAATCAAAAAAAGATCAGCAACAAAAAAAAAAAAAAAATTGCCAAAATGTAACTTAAGTTACATCCTCAAAGAATTTAAAGTTCACATAAAGAACAGATTTGAAGTGCTCAATTTAATTAACTGTGAGTCAGAAGAACTGTGGACTGAAACCCGAGACATTATTAGAGAAAAATGCCAAGAGACAATTTCTGTAGCAACAAGAAAGCAAAAGCCCAGACGAATCACAGAGGAAACACTCAAAGCTGTAAATGACAGGCAAGAAGCAAAAGCAAAAGGTGACAGAAATAGGGTCTGAATCCTGAATAGATTATTGCATAAAGACAAAAAGAACTGTTACAACGATCAGTGCAAAGAGATAGAAGAGAGCAGAAAGAGAGGGAAAACAAGAGTCCTCTTCCAGAAGATCTAAGAAAACAAAGAGAAATTTAAACCTAGATTAGGAGTGCTAAAAGACAAAAGGGAAAATAAATCTGCCCAGGAAAAAATAAAGAGAAGATGGAAAGAATATGCAGAAGAGGAAAGGATGACAGATTTCTTTGAAGCAGAATCCAATGAAGAACAGCCTGTAATATTAGAAAATGAAGTAAAAGCTGTTCTGAAAGCACTTTCAAAACATAAAGCACCTGGAGTAAAGAAGATACTTGTAAAACTATTCCAAGCTGCAGAAAATGAATGACTTCAAAGTCTAACAAAAATATGGCAACAAAAACGGAAAACAAAACAGCAGCCAAGAGACTGGAAATGTTCAATATATATTCCAATCCCCAAGAAAGGAAATGCAAAGAGTGCAGCAACCACAGGGCTATCGCACTGATCTGCCATGTAAGCAAAGTGATGCTCAAAGTGTTGCAACAAAGAATGCTACCTATATGGAACACAAGAAGCCTGACATCCAAACTGGATTCCAGAAGGGAAGAGGCATTAGAGATCATATTGCAAATGGACACTGGCTATTGGCACACACCAAATAATTTCAGAAAAAGTTCATTAGATGTTTTATAGATTACAGCAATGCCTTTGATCGTGTGGTTTATGAGAATCTATGCCTCATTCTGAAAGACATGGGTGTGCCTCAGCACTTGATTGTCATGATGCATAACCTGGATCAAGAACAAGATGTGACAGGACAGAATACAGAGAAAAAGAATGGTTTCACATAGGCAAAGGTGTCAAATAAGGATGTATTTTATCTCCCTATCTGTTCAATATGTAAACAGAAAGAAAGCTGGATTAGAAGGAGTGAAAACTGGGGGAAGAAACATCACTAATTTAAGATATGTGAATGAAACCATACCACAGGCAGAAAGCAACAATGACTTGAAACAACTCCTGATAAAAGTGAAAGAAGTACAAAAGCAGGACTGCAGCTGAATATTATGAAAATGAAATTTACATCCATAAAAGAATTGCATAACTGTACTGTTAATAAGACATTGAAATTGCTAAAAAAATGCATCCCTTGCCTCAGTCATCAATTTAAGGGGAGACTGAAGCCAAGAAATTTGAAGACTGAGACTTCTAAGGGCAGCAGTGAAGGAACGAGAAAAGAGTAAGGATTTTTCACTTGAGACCAATGCCAAGATAATCTACACTATTGTATTCCTGCAATCACCATATATGAGCATGAAAGCCAGACAGTGAAGAAAATTGACTGGAAGCAAAATGATGCATTTGAAACATGGTGCTGGAGGAGAGCTTTGCGAATACCCTGGACTGACAGAAAGATGAACAAGTGAGTCATAGATCATATCAAGCCAGAGCTTTTCCTAGAAACAAAAATGGCAAAACTGAGACTGTCATACTTCAGACACATCACAAGAAGGTAAGACTCATTGGAAAAGCCAATCATGTTTGGGAAAGTTGAAGGCAGAAGATAAAAGGTAAAATGGATTGAATCCATAGCCT